AGATATGATGTTATTGATCAATTGCAAGGAATATTATGAGATGGGCTATTATTATTATTTCGGGGCGTTACGTGACCACTACGAAGTTGATAGGCAATGCCAATAGCTCGTCTCTGTCGTTCTCCGACACGTTTCCGGTGGACAGAGGCAATTTCTCTCCGCCTAGAGTATGGTGGCTTCGATCGCAAGATGCATCGCTGAAAACCACCGTGATGAAGATCTAGAAGTCGTAGCAGAGGATAAACAAGGTCGCAGTTGAACAACCGCCGTGGTGGTTGCATCAATTCGGTGGCCGCGACAGAGGAGGAATGAGGCGATGATGTGGTGTTGAGAGAGAGTAAATGAGAGGGGGAGAGAGAGAGAGTGAATGTTAGGGTTTTAGTGAAATGATACTGTGTATATGATATATATAAGGAGGGATATTTTGGTCATCTTACTTGAGTTTGTTCTTTTGAACAAGGTGTTTGAGACCATGGACCTTTAGTCGAAGAAAATTAAAATTTGGATTTATGAACAAAGTACCCAAAAAAAATTTCCAAAATTACTTTACACTATGTTTGGGAATTTAAGAGAGAGAAAAAAAAAAGAAAGGATTACTTAAGTTATAAGAGAAAAGAAAAGAAAAGAAATGATTGTGATTTCTCTCATTCTTGTTTGGACAAGTAAGAAATAAAATAAAAAAAATGATTGTGATTTCTCTCATTCTTATTTGGTTAGATTTCATAAAAGAAAAGAAAAGAAATTATTTTATGTTATATTATCAAAATAACCTTTTTATATTTTCAATCATTTTATTTGTTTTTATTTTACAGAGACAAAATTAGTATTATGAAAGTATTGATTTCTTTTCTCTCTCAATCTCTCCACTTTTGGAAATATTGAAAATGAGGGTTATAAGAGAAATGAGTTTCTCTTCGTTTCTCTCTATTTCTTCTCAGTTCTCTCTACTTAAGTTATCCAAACAAGTAAGTGAAATATATATCTTTTCATTTCTCTCTAAATCACTCAATCCAAACATAGCGTTAGAGAATCTAGACTCATAATAAAACTCTTAAATATGTATCCAAATTTTATTTTATTTTTTTTAATTGTAACTTTATCAATATTTTAACTATTCAAGTTTGGTTTAAATTTTTTTTACGAATTTTATAATTTGTTCAAATTTGGTTCATTTTACTTTTTTTATGTTACCAAACTAATGAGCAATTAATAGTTCAATGTAACATGTTCTTTTTTAAATTTGCTTTTCTATATGTCAAATAATTTCGCTTTTAACTCTAGCATGGTTGAATTTTTGATAAAATAAAAAATCATACAAACAAGATCAAACAATTCACGGGCAAGTTGCCTATTTAGTTATGACTCATAAAATCTTTACTTATGTCTCATGTAGTGTTTGCTTATAATTTTTTTTTTAGTTATAATTCAAAAAATATAAAGTTATGCTATTTTTTTTTAATTATAAGACGCATATAGTAAATACTATTTGAGTAGTGTGTATTATAATTTTTTCTTCCTATATATATATATATTATCTAATAAACTCTAACAAACTTTTCATGTGATGCATAGAAATATATATATATATATATATTTTATCTGAGGAACTTTTCATGCGGTATTCCATCGACATGAACAAGTCACCTCGCAAGACAAGAGCAAGTCACTTTACAATTGAAGCTACCTCGTCAAACCAAACAACATGTTTATTCCTTAATAAATGTTGTACTATGAAATGGGAAATCCTAAACCTATGATTTGTTAGGGGTGTTTGGCAAGAGTTTTTTTTTTTTAATATTTTGGGTTAAAATCTACAAAAAAAAAGAGAAGAAGATAAAATTGGCTAAAATAGTTAATCAGACAAAATATCATACCAAATCTATAATCATTTCACTTTTTTTTTCCACAAACATCACATCTAATTACAAAAAAATCCAATTATCTTTCCAAACACACAAACTTTAATCTACTAAAATAGCCAAAAACTAAGATAGTCTACTAAAATAATAACTTTCCAAATACTCACATAATATTTTATAGAGGTGGTATTATTACATTGGACTGAGAAAGACAGCTTGCTTTTAAAGGGTTTAGAGAGGATGGAGAAACCAGTCAATTTCATAGGGGAAATGTTATATACCATATGCACCATATTAGAAAAATATGTAATTTTATTACTAAATTTTGTAATATTAATTATAAAATGTATAATTTTATCACAAATTAGCGTAATAAAATATATAAAATTTTGTGATTGATGTTGCAAAAATTTGTAACTTAATTATGACATTTTTTATTACACTAATTTGTGAAAAAATTATACATTTTATAATTGATGATACAAAATTTTATAGTAAAATTACATAATCTGTAGTAGGGTGGTGCACGCCATAACATTTCCCTTTCATCCGCCGAAATATTGACAATTTCGTCAAGAAATGGCTGCATTTACCATTTCAACATGCTGTTGTCTGTTTATTATAAAGAATGAATAATAAAGAATGAAGAATATAGACTCATTCTGGTGCATGCATATTAATTGGTGTCTGGAGGGCTATTAGGCTGGCTTTAAAGTCTCTCTTTCCATCTTCCAAAAACATCTATAAAAGCAGTTCTAAGTGGTTCCTTATTTCCCATCTCATCAAATCTTTCAACTCTCAAAAGAAGATTGCTTCATTCTCAACAAGAAGAAGATTTTTAGTTTCCAAAATGGCATCACAATTTGCTTTGTTATTAGGATTATTGGCTATAACTTGTTCGGTTGCTTTTGCATCTGACAATAATCCTCTTCAAGACTTCTGTGTGGCAGACAACAGTAGCTCAGGTTTTATGTTCTTCATATATACTTTCTAGTTGATTTGGTTCTATTTTCTATTTTTTTCTGTTTTTAATTTTTATTTTCTTGAAAAATGTAGAAAATTGTTTGACGAACAACTTTTGAATTATTTATTTATTTTTGAAAATAGTTCACTATTTAGGAAACACCAAAGTATATTTTTAATTTTTGAAAATAGTTTTTGCATAAAAAAGAAAAACACGAAAAAGAAGATTTTATTTATAAAAGAAAAAACCAAACCAATTTATTTGTATACACATCCTATAATAATCTACTTATTGAGTTTTATGGGCCTTAAATCTTTTATTTTTTGTGGTTGTAGTGCTAGTGAATGGTTTGGTGTGCAAGGATCCGAAGCTTGTAGAAGCCAATGATTTCTTGTTTAGAGGGCTACGCTTAGCAGGCAATACATCGAATGCAGTTGGATCGAAGGTGAATTTAGTAAATGTTGAACAATTTCCAGCGCTTAACACTCTTGGCATTTCCATGGCCCGCGTTGACTACGCACCATTGGGCATCAACCCTCCCCACATACATCCTCGGGCCACTGAAATTTTGACTGTCATTGAAGGGAGCCTACAAGTAGGGTTTGTCACCTCTAACCCAGAAAATCGTTTCATCACAAAGCTACTTCAGAAGGGTGATGTGTTTGTATTCCCGATGGGTCTTATCCATTTCCAGCGTAATGTTGGACATAGTAATGCAATAGCCATTTCAGCACTTAGTAGCCAAAATCCTGGTATTATTACCATTGCAAATGCTGTCTTTGGGTCAAAACCTGCAATCTCCAGTGATCTTCTCTCAAAGGCTTTCCAAGTGGATAAAAATATAATTGTTCGTATGGAGTCTCAATTCTAAACATTCATTCCAAGGCAACAAATCAAAAAGAAAAATGTCTAGGCCAATTGTTTCAAGATTTTTGAATTTTTATATTTTACTTTATTGTTCAGCTAGTTGATTTGTTATTCTTTGATTGATTTTTCCAAATATAAATAAAAGAATGTAATAAGTTTGTAAACTTCTTTACTTATACAGCGTAGAATATTATGAGTTTGTTAAATATTTCATTGTTTTTAGTATATATCAAGATTTGATATATCTGATTATTATTATTATTTCCTTTGAGAAAGAAGTTCATTGCCTTCAAAATACGCATGTATGTTATCATTCAAGTCGTTGATAAGATACTTCTATATAGTAACACCATAGCGTGATATGACCTTAAATTGGGAGTGAAGTTCAAATGACGTGTCCATATGTGTTAGAAATTTTATTTGACGAGTCAAGGTTAGTGTAGCAAAAAAGAAGGAAAAAAAAAAAAAGGAAAAAAAAACCTTTAGAAAATGATAATTTCTTACAAGTTATTAGAAAATATATATAGATTGATATCAATGATTTCTTAATACTTATCTCAATTGTTTCGTACAAATTTTTTGTTCCATAATAAGGAACTGTTATTTTAAGAATTTTATTAGTTGATAAAACATCTACTTCTATGTATTTTTATAATGAAAAAAAACAACACATGACATTTGCATGTCAAATCAACAGAACTAATGGTATCTATATAGGGTGATGATTGAGACCCCCTCCAATCACCACCCTCACCACTCCACACACACGTGACGGGTGGTGATTGGAGGAGAAGGGAAAAAAAAGAAAAGAAAAAGAAAAAGGGACCAATCATGGGAAGAGGGGGTTAAGGGGTGAGTAAAAAAGGGGGTCCAAGTCATTATTCATCTATATAATAGAAGGATTAGTTTGAATTCAAAGACTGAAAATATATATGTGTCAAAATTTGGACCTTTAGATTGCTTCAATCTAAGGGCTGAAAATGTCTTACTCAATCCAAGGGCTGAGATATATATGTATCAAGATCTAATGGTTCAAAATGTCTCTAACCTCAGCTCCTCTCTGCTCAAAATCTCTCTCTGTTTCAATTTTCAAATTTTGAACACACAACCCTCCCCCTCTCTCTCTCTCTCTCTCTCTCACAGAACCCATTTCCTTGCTGTAGACCCAACCCCCTTCAATATTAACAACGAACGAAAGGAGCCATTACAAGAATCTAAAGGAAGAGTCTATTAGAAAAATTGGCTTATTCTAAAGGAAGAATCTAAACGAATGGCTTCCACATTCGAAAGAGTCATCAACATCGTCAGAGATGGACATTTCTCTTCAAAAACCGATGGTCTCAGTTTCTCCGATCGACAAATCGAGAAAGAAGATAACTAGAACGATGTCGAAGACCGATCTCAGAGAGCTTTCGGTCTCCAAACGAAGGCCGTTATTGCCGGCGATTGCGGTAGAGGAAGAGGAGTAGGAGAGAGAGGAGGGTTTTGATTCGAGATCGGATTCGTTGGATCGAGTGTTGTTTTTGGGCTCCGGATTGGATGAGATTGTGGTTGATGAGGAGTGTGATGTTGTTGGGGTAAGGGATTGGAAATTGGGGGGTGTTGTTGTGGGTGGTGGTGCTGGATACGGCGGAGGTGGAAGTTTGACCGGTGGTGGTGGTGGTGGAGGAGGAGGAGGAGGATCAGGCGGTGGTGATGGGGATGGGAGTTCTGGGTATTGGGATTCAAATCATGGGAATAACATCACGGAGGAGTATTATCAGAAGATGATTGATGCATACCCTGGAGATGCTCTGCTTCTTAGCAATTCTGCTAAATTCTTGAAAGAGGTATATATACACTACAGTTCAATTTCACTCTTTGTTTGGAATGAATCATGGTTTTGTGAAGGAAAAAAAAAAAAGATTGTTAACTTTTGGAAATATTGGTTTTTGAAGAACACAAGAATAAAAGAAACAACATTTTCATTCAACTAGAAAGGAAATTTTTGAAGGAAGTAAGAAATTTTAATTGAACTAAGAGTTGGTTTGGATTGATGAGGATTTCAAATAATGAGATTTAATGATGAATGTTATAAAAATATTGAAGAGGGTATATATATATCTATATAACAATCCAACAGCTAAAAAATGTCCAACAAACAAATTATATTTCAATGGTGGATTTACAATGGTGATTCAATCCTACGGTGAGTTTACAATGGGGTTTCTTCTTCTTCTCTCTCTCTCTTCAGATAGCAGATAGCTATTTCACTCTCCTTCGCAAAAAGCCCTACTCTTGGTATTCTCTTCAACAAAAGAAAGGCCTTGGCGGTGCTGCGTCTGTGCGAGAGACAAATCTAACCTTTGTATTCGTCGACGACAACAATGGATCGCATCCTTTTCTTCGAACACGCTCGCAAGGCCGCCGAAGCCTCCTACACCAAAACCCCCCTCAATGCCGAGGTTCTTATTCTTCTTTATATTCATATTTAATCCCGAATACCTACTTTTTATCTTCATCTCTTTTTGCATTTTTCTTGAATTTTGATTTTTTGTGTGATTATTTGTGTAGAATAATATTAACGAATCAAAGGATATGATTCAAGGTTCTAATCTCTCTCTCTCTCTCGGCTCACTTTGTATATATGCTTTTGCTTATGTATAATAATTATCTATGCGTCAGTTAGTTAATTGAATTTCGGTGCAAAAGAAACGAAAACATGTTTGGCGGATTGTAATTTTTTAAGTAATTATATTTTGGGGCAAATGGAAATAATTTTTCATGGCAATGGAGATTTTAAATTTGTGTCTGTTTAGTTCGAATGTTTAGCAAATCGGCGACAAACTAGCAAATCGGCAACATACATAGCAAATCGGTGAGGTTCTTCAAAATCTTGACTATATTTGTTCATTCCTTGGTGAGGTTTTTAATATCAAATTCGTAGGCACTAAAATGGGTTAATAAACCCAAAATCAAATTAACCCATTTACTATCAAATTCCAAAATCAAAATCAAAATGTTCGATAACAAATCAAACTGGGTTATATTTGTTCAAACCCAAAATGGGTTATATTTGTTCAAAATTAACCCAGTTCAGATTCGTGAAACCCAAATTCCAGATAACATATTTGAACAAATCAAAATGGGTTTATCATTCTATACATTATCAAAATGGGTTTATATATAGAATGGAATTAATTCCATTTTGTTCAAACCCATTTTGATAAACCCATTTTGATTCCATTCTATATTTGATAAACCAATTCTATATATTAATTCTAGATAATATATTTGAGATAATATATTTGTGTTTATTTGTTCAAATATATTAACCCATTTGATTTTGATTTTACCAAAATGGGTTATATTTGTTCAAATTTTTTTTGATAGTAAATGGGTTAATAAACATAAAATGTTTCAATGGAATTAGTAGGCACACAACTGAAATTATTCTCTAAATCCAGTTGATGGTATCCTCTAAATTAATATTCCTCTAAAATGTTTCTTGGATGATTCCCATTATCCTCTAAATTCCATCAACTGGAATTATTGGGATAAAATGTTTGATAACCATTCAATTTACACACAAGAAATCTCAAAAGATGTCAGTATTGTTGGGTGGGTCTGGAGATGTGAAGTTGATAACCATTCAATGGGTGGGTCTAGAGATGTAACCATTCAATTTGATAACCATTCAATGTTTGATAATTTACTCAATTTTTATTTGGAGATGTGAAGTTTTCTTGGGTGGGTCTGGAGATGTGAAGTTGATAACCATTCAATGGGTGGGTCTAGAGATGTAACCATTCAATTTGATAACCATTCAATGTTTGATAATTTACTCAATTTTTATTTGGAGATGTGAAGTTTTCTTGGGTGGGTCTGGAGATGTGAAGTTGATAACCATTCAATGGGTGGGTCTAGAGATGTAACCATTCAATTTGATAACCATTCAATGTTTGATAATTTACTCAATTTTTATTTGGAGATGTGAAGTTTTCTTGGGTGGGTCTGGAGATGTGAAGTTGATAACCATTCAATGGGTGGGTCTAGAGATGTAACCATTCAATTTGATAACCATTCAATGTTTGATAATTTACTCAATTTTTATTTGGAGATGTGAAGTTTTCTTGGGTGGGTCTGGAGATGTGAAGTTGATAACCATTCAATGGGTGGGTCTAGAGATGTAACCATTCAATTTGATAACCATTCAATGTTTGATAATTTACTCAATTTTTATTTGGAGATGTGAAGTTTTCTTGGGTGGGTCTGGAGATGTGAAGTTGATAACCATTCAATGGGTGGGTCTAGAGATGTAACCATTCAATTTGATAACCATTCAATGTTTGATAATTTACTCAATTTTTATTTGGAGATGTGAAGTTTTCTTGGGTGGGTCTGGAGATGTGAAGTTGATAACCATTCAATGGGTGGGTCTAGAGATGTAACCATTCAATTTGATAACCATTCAATGTTTGATAATTTACTCAATTTTTATTTGGAGATGTGAAGTTTTCTTGGGTGGGTCTGGAGATGTGAAGTTGATAATCGAGGGTTAGGTATTGTTGCGTCACCCCTTTTATTCCATTAAATTAATTTAATATAATATGCACGGCCCCATTATAGTCACGGTGGAGCAACAACCCACCAGCCATAATAAAATAATATTAAATTTTTAAAAATGGAATTATTCAACAAATTCGATGCTTTAAATACTAAAAAGATAATGGGAATCATCCTCTAAATCCAGTTGATGGTATCCTCTAAATCCAGCTGATGGAACTTACAGACAACAAATCTAGTTGATGGAATTTAGTAGGCACTTTTTGTTAAGGTAAATTCATGATTTAATTGTTAAGCTTCGTTGGAGGGTTTATTTAATATGATTTGAATTTTCTGGCTAGAGGATCATGTATATTTTTGGATCTCCATTAAAATATTATATTGTCCTTCGTCTCTCTTTTATTTTTATTTTTTATTTTTTAACCTTTATAATTAACATTGTTTCCAACTGGTTTGTTTTCTTGATGGAAACTCGAAGCAACATATTCATCCAAAAATGAATATTAAACACAAGGTAAACTTTAATTGCTTTTTTATTTTATTTTTTTCATACTCATTTTATAAATTCGAATTTAATTATTTTTCGGTGGGTTTTGTTAGGGTTTTGGAAGAGAGGCTTTTTAGGGTGTGAGGGCATGCATTCTACTAGGTGGAATATTTTTACACGGATAATTTTGATATCATTTGGGGCGAGAAAAGAAATTTTAAGAGTTTTAGAATTTATAACTAAGGGTCCAAAGAAATGGGGGGGACCTAAAATAATTGATAGGGAGCTAATAGCAACACTGATAAAAAAAAACATAAAACCAACTTGTATTTAAAGATTAGTTTTCAGTGACTAGTCTCACTGACATAAGATTCAGAGGGTTTTTTATTATTATTTTAAAGCAGATTTTCGGCTTTAAGGTGGTAACCCGTTGTGTGCTATGAAATGCACTTGATTGCCCAACCACTGAATATATCAAGAAATAAGCACTTCATATATCTCAAATCTTGATAACAAAAGCATTCCATATGTATGAACCTCAAAATGTGGTTGGTTTGAAGAATAGAGTGCTGCACATTTTTTTTTTTTCTTACGTTCGTTATATATTCTTTCAAAATCATCCTGCAAGAAGAACCAAAACAAAAATAAGGACAATAAAATTCTCCCTATCGGTGAAACATCCCAAAAAGTGTTTATGTAAATCGAAAGAACCCAACTCCCACACATAATAGTCTTGCTACATGTAAGAATCAAAATTTGCAAAATAGATTTACTAGAACATTTTTGTTTGATAATGTTGTTGATTTCTTGTTTCCTGTTTACAAAAAACAGAAAATAAGTTTTATAAACAAACTTTGAAAAAGAAAAAATAAACGAGTTTGATAAGTTGCGGTGACCCATTGTTGAGGGTGGACGTAAACTTGTTTGGTGTACAAAAAAGTTTTGAAAACAAAAAAAACAAGTTTGGTAAGTTGTAGTGACCTGTAATTGAGGGTAAACGGATGTTGTGGCCCACGGTAGGGGTTGTAAAGGGTTGGGGTTGGAGTTGGTGGTCGAATTATTGTTGGAGGTCACGATGTGGCCGAGGGTCACAGGAGGTGACCATCTGATAGCCAAAAGGTGGCCAGAGCTTACAGATGGCCGCCAACGATGGGTGGTGGCAATAGTGAATGGTAACTGGAGGTGGTGAGAGAGGGAGAGTGAAATTTTGTTTTAAAACAAGTGAACACTCATTTTTTTTCCCCCAAAATTTTAAAATTAATTCCATTTTTTAAATCAAAAATAAAACCAAACAAGTTTTCATTTTCATTTTAAAAAAAAAAAACAGTAAAGAGGTCTAGAGAAACAAAATTTAGTTTTAAGCCAATTGGCCGTTTTGATTTTTCTTCAAATATTTGGTTTTGGAACTACATTAATTTAGTAGACTATCTATGTTATTAGTTAGTCATCTTGGAGTAATGAGTGATGGCATAAATTTGCTTTATGCTTGAAACAGTTTAAACCTGCTTTACTTTTAATTGTTTGTTTCAGCTATTCAAAAATTTACATTAATTTTTAATTCAGTAGACTATCTATGTTAATTCAGTAGTTAATTTCTTCAAAAATTGTTTGTTTCAGCTATTCAAAAATTTACGTTAAATTTACTTTATGCTTGAAGCAGTTTAAACCTGCTTTACTTTTAATTCAGTAGACTATCTATGTTAATTGTTTGTTTCAGCTATTCATAAATTTACTAAAATTTACTTTTAATTGGATGATTATGCATAACGGTACCTCATAAGTGAAAAAGAAGGTGGTTTTACTATAAACCCTTAATGTTTGTTTTAGCTATTCAAACATAGGCACTTAAATAGCTTACAAAAGCCTAGGCCCAATTCAGACCAAGGTTTTTTAAATAGGCACTTAATATGGAAAAAAGGTTTTTGAATTTGTCTTGCGTGGCAAGAAATTGTCTTAGTTAACAAGTAAAAGAATTAACTGATAGAATTTTTATGCCCTTTTGAGGAGCCTTCTATTACCACTAGAATTAGAAAGTGGAAAAAATGACACAAACTATACAAAATTTCAATATATATTTTTTTTAGTATCTTTATCAAAAAATGACATAAATTTTACAAATTTTAACATGATACATATAAATTACAATTATGTTTTGATCTTAACATTAGGCGTGGGCATACACTAATATATAGATATAGCTCACTCTCTTCTCTTTCCTTATTTCAATACACAGTTACACTACAGCATTAGCAAATGGCTCTGTTTCTCTCTCTATGCTCTATTTTGTTCATCTTCTCTCTCTATAGCATCTATGCTTCCGCAGCTCTTCCTCCTCTTCAACCACATCTTGATGGTAAGTACTGCCTCATTTCCTTTTACTTGCTTTATATACATCTCACATTACATCTCTGTTTCTCTTTTTGGAAGAAATTGCTTGAATGTGATGTGGTTTAGTTTTGATTTGGTCTGTAAATCAACAAAGTTTTTTACTTTTTAGAGTAACTCTAACACTGCATTTCACTTAACAAAAGTATATATAAAATAATTTTACTTTTAAATTTTATCTCACAACTTTACCTAATATGTGTACTCCAACAACAATTGCTACTCATGAAATTAGTTTGCCTAGCTTTTAGAACTCTCTAAATGTAGTTATCCAAAAGGTGTGAGGCAAAATGTAGATCCATTCTTGGTGAGTTTGGGACTAGCAAAAAAAAAAAATAGAGTTTTTCCTTTTAGTATTTTTAAAATAAAAAAAAATGCGTAGAAAAAATTTACTTTTCAAGTCAATCTACTAGATCTAAAAAAAAAAACAAAACAAAAAATTGAAAAAAATCTTCTAAAAGGCTCATTAAAAATAAGTCTTTCGTTTTTTTTTTTCCGTCTTTTTGATTTTTTGTTTTCATACTCATTTTATAAATTTGAATTTAATTATTTGTCGGTTTACAATCTTAAAAAATTCTTATCCATTGTTTAGTCATGATGTGTAGGCATAAAAATAAATAAGGTAAAATTATAACGTTTTTTTTAAATATTTGGTAAGTCATGTAACTTTTCTTTTCTACGAAATACATGTCTCACATTCCTTTTTTGGGTTTCCATTGAACAATACTCTCATTGAGTTAGAAGAGAGTAGGAGTAGCCTAGACTCTTGCATTGGGAAAAAATACAAGATTAG